TTGCTATTATTGTTTCTGATATTTTTGTTTGATAATTTTTATGAGTTTTCCATGTTATTTATTTTTCTCTTTCTATTTATTTGAGAGTTTTATTCCATTCATTCATTTTTTTTGTTAGCCAGAGACAATTTTTATTCTCATTTTAAATCTTTTCATTTCTCATTTTTATTGCATTTTTTCCTCTACTCCTATTCTGACTCTGCTTACTCTCACCACTTTCACTCTACTTACTTTTTTGAAATATGTTCCAATAATTATATTATAACCAGGATATATATTTTTTTTTTGCAGGTTAACCTTGTTATTTCCTACTCCATCTCTTCACTTTGTGCTGCTCTGGAGATCATTTAAAACATAATATTTTATGTACAGTGGATACATATTTTGGTTTATGCTGTGATCATTATTGGAGTTTAGTCTCTCCTGACAGGAGCCAATGCGAACTTGGTGTGAAGCAAATTGACTTAGAAGCCACTGGCTTCTTACAAAGCTGTGTCAGGTTCAGCACTGCACTGGAGATGGGTGGACCAGCTGGAGCCACACAGCTACACAGCCTTTCAGAGTTGGGTGTGGCCTGTCAAGATGCCAATCAACTTCATTGCTGCAAGAACCCTAACACACCAAAAAGCAATATTCCTCCCGCTAAAAACTTATCTCTGCCTTTGATCTACTCTCCCTTAAATAAACAACTTGATCCTTTTTCTAGTTGTTCAGTTCCAGCTTCTACTGGGATTGGGGAACCTTTCAGGAGCTCTGCTTTCCTTTTCAAACTTAATTTCTGGCTCTGTCTCTTATTTCCTTACTAATTACTTGAGACTTTCTTTTTCCCAGGTGGCTTACACCTTCTGAGCAGGAAACTACCCTGGCAAGGTGATGGTGGCTCTGTGATACTCTCCCCTTACAGAGATACTTGTGAGTGAAAGTAACATGTTAAACATGCTCATTTTTCAGATGTGATCCTCATCTATAAACCCTGTCCAGGAAACATCCCAAAGAGAAACTTGCACACTCCAAGTACCCAGGAGACACTATGGAACAGAAATCCATTCAAATGCATGGAAATCCACAATTTACTAACACAGACAACATGAGAACAGAGGAAAAATACACCTCCCAAATTTCATGATTTCTCAATAATTGCATCCAATGACTTAGGTCTAACAACATCTAGATACTAAGAAAAAAATATGTTTAATAAGTGAATTGATTTCTTGAAAGGAAATGACATAAAATCAATAGAAACTGTATGTATATTAACAGAAAAGTACCCATCCTGAATCATTTTCCATTAACAGGCAGTTTTGGGTCTCATTTAAGTCTGGTATCTTCCTCAGTAAAGACACAGGAATCCATGGAGAAAAACATCGTTAACCTTGTCATGGGTGACAGCTAATGTGAAATTAAACACTGAGCCTTTGGGAATGAAGCTATTTTTACATGAATGTGTTCAGCGGTCATTGCATTTATGCATGTTCCTAGTTTCAACTGATATGATATTCTGCAATTTATCATTCACCATTTAAGGCTGTCACATAGATGAAAATGCAAACATTATTGGAAAATAGTAGTGCAATTACTTGCATAAAGTTTATCTGTCATTCACCTTGATTGCTAAAGCTATTTTGATATTGATGACCAGTTAACTTCTCTGTACTTAAATATTTAATTACTATGTTTGGATTTTCAAAGAGTACTGTAGTAGGTCATTTCAATTGGCATCTGGAAGCAAGAAAAAGAATTTAAATGGACACATATGCCTACCTTTTGCTGGTGATGTGCAGTATCATCCATATCATGAAGCCTCTTCTGTTCTGCCTCAGATGATCTGTCCAAATTTAACTCTGCTGACAAATGCACAGATAAACTTAAAATACTTAAAAAAATTCATGTGAAAGACAAATTATCCAAATTATAAAAAGGAAGAGTACTAATAATCATATAATTTTATTTGTCCAGTTATATTTTTATTGAAGTTTTACTTTAGAAGAATATATATCATGTGTGAAATTTTTATTGCTGTTTGTGTGTGGGCCTATGTATTTTACCCCCAAACATGTGTATCCTTGCAAAATACTATAATGCTTACTTCAGATCCCAAGTCTTTATACTGGGAGACAGGGTGTTTTTTCAATTCCAGGGTTTGCTGTAAACCTGAGAGGCTGCCTCTGCCTCTCAAGTACCTGCAATTATGGATGTGTGTCTCTGAACCCCATGCATACTGACATCATTGAAGAGTAATTTTACTGGTCCAATACCTCAGAAAACCATGTGGGGAGACACTAGGTATTCACCATGTATGATGCCTATAATAACTCACAACTTGATCCATTCAAGTTGAATGAAAATTTCACAGTAAAAAATTTAAGTTTCTTTGTACACTATAATCATCACACTGTTTACTATCTCCTCCTCAATTATTAAATTTTAAAAATCCATTGTACTTCATTGTGTTCCAAATAAATGATTGCATTTACACCTTAACAGAATGAATTCCACATTATTTTTCATTTTAGCTTCCACTTCTTCTCATATATTTTTTTCAATCAAAATTGCCTCTGTCTTGCAAAACATTCACGATTATGCCTGTTATTCCTGACATAAACTGGTTTTCTTTCCTTGGGACTACCTCAGACAGATTACAACTTTTGTGCTGAGTAATAAACATGTGAGCTGTAAAGTATTCATTTTCCTACCCAGTTCATCAGTTACTGGACTTGAGAGGACTGCTTTTATATCATATTACTGTCAAAAGCTTTATTTATTTCCACCTGTAATTGAATTTGTGGTAAGAACTAGAGGAGAAAATAGGGGACAGGGATGATGTCTTTTCTAGAGATAGAGATTAATGGAGACTTCAAAAGTGAGGTTATCTGCCAGAGGGAGGAAATGCTGAGGGCATGTGAGACTGTACATACACACAGGGCTTAAATGGAACATGCCTGACTGACTATAGGGATTGGCAAGGAGAACTGCCAGGGGACATCGCAGGCAGAGAGAGGGATCAAAATACACAGTGAGGAAAAATTTGTATTAAGAAAGATTCTTAGGAAATTTAAGATGCACGGAAATCCGTGTCTTATGGTCATATATGCACTATACGCATAAATAGTAAAACCAACCTCAATGTGATAAGCATGTGACCTTGAGTGGCATGTGCACGAATGGAGATGAATAGTGAGAAGGCAGCAGTGCACTAGAAAATTGATGCAGGCCTGATTGGATGGAATTTTTCCAAAAATACAGAGGGTATAAAATTTTCAGTGAGATTTATGGAACCCATTTTAATTAAATGAACAAGAAAGAAAGTGGCTCTGTGTGCTTTGAGATCCCGACTGTAATGCAAGGTTTCAAATGGGATGTGTAATAAAACGTAGGAACTGTGAATGTTGTTTTCATGTACCATGTAGTTTCTTCTGTAAAAATATCTTCCTGTGTTGAAGGAACTCATTTAGGTGCTTGGTGCACAATTTTCTGAAACCTGGATTTAGAAAACCCACTAGAGAATTAGAGAGGTCTGTGGGAGACGTTCAGTGAGACAGCAACTTTTTGCTTAGCATGCAAAAAGACCTTTTTTTAGTGCCCACAATTGAGGTAAAATAAAGAAATAAAATATGTCATAGAACGATTAGCAAACACTTCCTTGGTATGTGCAAGCACATTCTTGATTTACAACTCAGTCAAAATTTCTGGAAAACTGTTTGCCAATAAATAACACATTCATTTTATATAAAAGCAGTAAAATGAATTACATGTGTGTTGAGTAAAGTCACAAGATTCAAAGTACTAAAACCAAACCAGGAATGTGGGTTCAGTAATATTTGCAGTTAAGTTTCCAGAGGAAAGATCATTTTTGAAATGATCAATTATACAATTATGTCGAGATGCAGAATGAACTGTATTTAAAGGAGGAAAGAACACCCCTGAGAAATTCAATGTCAAAGCTTTTAAAATGTGGCAGTACACATCTTTAGTGAATCTTATCAGAATCTATTAATCCATTTCATTATAAGTCCTTTTCCAATCCCTTATTTGCCTTATAATTAACAAGACTAAAGTGGTGATGTAAGTGCGGGGGAAGATATAATTGTTTGCTCATCATGGAGAATTTTCTGATGTATGTGTTTACAGAAAGTCAGCTAACACCATCTGGGTGTTTATCCATACCCATGTGGGAAACTGATATAGCTTCCTTTCCTGTATAAGGTGGCTCAACCAACACCAATTTTATTTTTCCTCTGTTGTGTGAAGAAAGTGATCCAACATCTATGAAAAAAAAAAAAAAAAAAAAAAGAAAGGAATATGATAAAGCACAAAGGATTCAGACTAGTCCATCAAAAAATTGTTCTGAAATCTTGCAGAAATTGCAGATATCAATAAACTATTATGGGGGCTGGGGATGTGGCTCAAGCCGTAGCGCGCTCGCCTGGTATGCGTGCGGCCTGGGTTCGATCCTCAGCACCACATACACACAAAGATGTTGTGTCCGCCGAAAATTAAACAATAAAAAAATTATTTAAAAAAAAAAAAAAAAAAAAAAATAAACTATTATGTTTTGAAGAAATTGGTAAATAAGAGTAATGGTGTTGGTTTTTGAGGAGTAAACTGCATAAAGATTTCTGGTTCCAGTTTGAGTCTGATGTGGCATATCTACAAGGCTTTTAAAGTATTTTCAAAAAAGTCCCAGTTCAGAACAACATTTGTCCTCTAGAGTTCAGAAGGTATCTCAGCAGTACTGTGGATTCTTGGCATGTAAGCAGCATGGTTTCCCAACGAAGCACCAAAAAATAATGGCTTAAACAAAATTAATGATACTAATGATAAGAATAGTATGAATGGAAATATTAGCTTTCTTTAAAACAATTAATTCTTCAAAAATGCAATGTTGCTCTTCTGAATGACATATATGGATGCCTCACACATTGTGGGGCCTGCTACATATGGAGGAGAGAAATTGGCAGCTGTAGGTTGCCTTTATTCTTCCAGCCCCCACTAGTTCTAATCATCTCTCCATCAGATATTGATATGAAATGAGACAAACTGTAAAGCCCTGAAGAGTATTCTCTCCATTTACTCATATTTCCTAGCTAAATTTCATGATTCCTCCTTCATTTTCCCTTCCCTTTAGCTTTTCAAAAAGAACCCTAGAGTGGAGGCTTGTTTCTTTCCATTTTACATTCTTTGAATGGATTTTTGCCCACTTTCTTTCCTGGCAATGTAACAAATTTATCATGGAAATATAATTTCTTCATCTTAGTCTTTTGAGTCCCTCTCAATTCTCAAGAGACATGTTTAGAATGAACTCAATATTTGTCCTTGCAATTGATCTGCTTGTGTCCTAAACTGCAGGAACCCGTAGCTGTTCTTGCATATTTCTCAAAAGGACATTCCAAAGGATCTTTGGAATCACTATAGAATGTAATGGACATGGAGAAGGAAAGACTTGCTCAGTCAGAATGAGATTTTGGACATGATCCCCAAGAGATGATTCCTTATGTTTTCAGAGTTCCAGTGTGAAATTTGTCAGTTTCCAATTCCTCTAAGTTAATTTGAATATAGCTCTGGATTTTACCTTAGGATGTCCCTTCAAAGTCAAGTTTAGAAGAATCTGTAATCTTTTTCCAACATTAATTTTAGATACCTGTGGGTTTCAGGAATGCTCCACAACTATTTGTACTTCTTTTGCCTTTTCCATTTGCTGTTTCTTCACTGTGTTTTTGTCCTAGGGTGTAACAAAATGTTGTCACTAAATTTTGTACATGCCTAATCATTTATGGTAAATAAACTTAGCTTTGTGGCATCAAGTGTTTATTCCTCAATTCATTTCCAAGTGTGAATAAGTCATGAAGGTTCAGAAAGATGTACTCTCCCCTTCATTCATCTTTGTAGTTTGAAACTCACAAATTCTTCCCACATTTTGAAAACCCTGCTCTTTACCTTTCTCATATGTGGCTTGAATTTCCCGCCCTCTCCTTGGTAAAACTTATTCCTCTTTTTCTTTTTGACTCCATGTACTCACTGTCTTTCTCAGTCTTCATTACATCTTCTTCTTGCTTTTGCCTTATTTTAGATTTACCCGTGATAGAAGCATGTCTTAAATGCAACTCACAATTGTATTCATTTAGCAATACTCCCAATTTAACCTGTGAATGAAACCTAAAAGATGCCACTTCTTATCTTCCTTTTTCCTTGCTAGCTACTTAATAGACATATTCTTTGAACAATTACTCTATGCTAGTGCTCATATTTTTTGGCAATAGTCTCTCTATTATATTTTGTATCCTATGTGTATCTTACCTTTTACATATCCTTTTATTCCTTTTTTTGTGGGTGAACGGAATACACCAAATAGACAAGAAGTACACTCATTATCTTGCTCAGAATCACTCTGTTAAAAATAATGTCAGTTATGAGTTACATATAGATTTCATCATCACTCTTTAGACACCACCATGTTCATAGATATGAAGTCATTGCAATTGGAGATAAGACCATTACATTTTGTGCAACAGTACTTTCCAAATGAGACACTATCTTATGCATTCCAGATGAAGCTGAGATGCTTTCCTTCATCTGGCTTCTGCTGGGGTAAAACCAGGAAGAATTAAGAGAGAATGTGTTCCCTGATAACAAACACTGATATGCATATATCTAAAACAATTTAAATCAGTGCTTAACTAGCAAACATACTCAGCAATACTATAAACACAACAGAAAATTTATTTAAAACTCTCTTGAGAAATGGACTTGATATTATACAGATTCAACATTTAAAACAATAAAGGGCAATTTTTAGTGTTAAAATTGATGTGTTAAGAGATTTTCAAATCTGTCACTTTGTGTAGAAATAAAACACACTTGGACTTGTTTGAGTCACAGAGCTTGGAAAACATGAATGTCATTTAGAAAAATATATATAGTCAAAAATTTATTTTAAAAAGAGAGAAATTCAGAATGAAAATGTGTCTATATTTTATGTATACAAATGGGCACACTCAATTTGGTTAGAGTATGCAACACTTTTCATTGAAGAATAACTAAAAGGAATTCCAAGAAAGGAAGACACTAGCAAAGTATCATGCTGTGTTTACTGTCTGAATATTTTCAAAGCACTCAAGGAAATACCATTCAAAACTGCATTAACATTTCAGTTTTCCCCAGTCAGAAG